CGGATGGCAGCAGCATAAATTCACCCCACAAAGGATGACTGGGATCAGCCAGGCTGGCTCTCGCCTTCTTCAAGGATCTGACCTTATACAGGTCATGTAGGTCATCTAAGGGTGTGCCAACAATTTTGCTGCATACCTTCATGATACCTTGCATGCGATTTTTCTGTTTAATGGAAAGTGATCCGTGCCATCAGATAAAAGAGAAAGTGAGAACTGATTCAATAATGCCCCAAATGCTCTCTATCGTCATTAAAAATTCTAACATCGCTCCATTGGATGTACTTGGTAGTCCAAAGATACTACAGTCTATCAACATCTTCTCCCAAGCCTCTGGTTTAAAACTAAACTTGATCAAATGTGAAATGTTGCCTATTCATGCATGTGCTTTGACGCACACAATGTCCCTATTAGGTCCACTGTTAAATACTTGGGTATACATTCAAAATTTTTTACTGAATGTGAAAACGTGAATGTGTGGAAAGTAAAAGAGGAATGCTGAAGTAGACTTAACTCATGGCGAGATATTTGTTTATTGGGCTGTATATTTTTGACTAAAATAGAAAGTATCTCAAGGTGTATTTATCCTGCATACTCACTTGCTATTCCTAACAGAGCTATTAAAAAGATCAGCCAAATATATTTCAACTATATTTGGAGAAGGAAAGTCCTCTATGTTAAGAAAACAGAGATGACCAAAACATTTAAAGATGCTGGCCTGCAAGTTATTGATTTTAACTTTATGAATGGAACCTTAAAAAATCAATTGGTTGAAATCTTTTGTGAACAACTATAACTTTTGGTATAATATCATATAGAAAGTAGGAGGTATAGAATTCTTACATAAATGTGATTTCACTATTCAAAGGCTTCCAATGAAATTATCCCTTTTTCACCAGCAGGTTCTGTTATATTGGAACTTCACCCCACATAACTCCCCAATATGGAGTAATAGATATATTACGGTCAAGAACAAATCGCTGTACAACAAGGACTGGATTGACAAAGATATTTGGTCTGTGATCCATTTACAGTGGGTACGGAAAGTATTCAGACCCCTTTAAATTTTTCACTCTTTGTTTCATTGCAGCCATTTTCCAAAAATCAAAAAAGTTCATTTTATATCTCAGTAATGTACACTCAGCACCCCATCTTGACAGAAAAAAACAGAAATGTAGAAATTTTTGCAAATGTATTAAAAAAGAAAAACTGAAATATCCCATGGTCATAAGTATTCAGACCCTTTGCTTAGTATTTAGTAGAAGCACCCTTTTGATCTAATACAGCCATGAGTCTTTTTGGGACAGATGCAAGAAGTTTTTCACATCTGGATTTGGGTATCCTCTGCCATTCCTCCTTGCAGATCCTCTCCAGTTCTGTCAGGTTGGATGGTAAACGTTGGTGGACAGCCATTTTCAGGTCTCTCCAGAGATGCTCAATTGGGTTTAAGTCAGGGCTCTGGCTGGGCCATTCAAGAACAGCCACGGAGTTGTTGTGAAGCCACTCCTTCGTTATTTTAGCGGTGTGCTTAGGGTCATTGTCTTGTTGGAAGGTAAACCTTCGGCCCAGTCTGAGGTCCAGAGCACTCTGGAAAAGGTTTTCGTCCAGGATATCCCTGTACTTGGCCGCATTCATCTTTCCCTCGATTGCAACCAGTCGTCCTGTCCCTGCAGCTGAAAAACACCCCCACAGCATGATGCTGCCACCACCATGCTTCACTGTTGAGACTGTATTGGACATGTGATGAGCAGTGCCTGGTGTTCTCCACACATACCGCTTAGAATTAAGGCCAAAAAGTTCTATCTTGGTCTCATCAGACCAGAGGATCTTATTTATCACCATCTTGGAGTCCTTCAGATGTTTTTTAGCAAACTCCATGCAGGCTTTCATGTGTCTTGCACTGAGGAGAGGCTTCCGTCGGGCCACTCTGCCATAAAGCCCCGACTGGTGGATTGCTGCAGTGATGGTTGACTTACTACAACTTTCTCCCATCTCCCGACTGCATCTCTGGAGCTCAGCCACAGTGACCTTTGGGTTCTTCTTTACCTCTCTCACCAAGGCTCTTCTCCCCCGATAGCTCAGTTTGGCCAGACGGCCAGCTCTAGGAAGGGTTCTGGTCGTCCCAAACGTCTTCCATTTGAGGATTATGGAGGCCACTGCGCTCTTAGGAACCTTAAGTACAGCAGAAATTTTTTTGTAACCTTGGCCAGATCTGTGCCTTGCCACAATTCTGTCTCTGAGCTCTTCAGGCAGTTCCTTTGACCTCATGATTCTCATTTGCTCTGACATGCACTGTGAGCTGTAAGGTCTTATATAGACAGGTGTGTGGCTTTCCTAATCAAGTCCAATCAGTATAATCAAACACAGCTGGACTCAAATGAAGGTGTAGAACCATCTCAAGGATGATCAGAAGAAATAGACAGCACCTGAGTTAAATATGAGTGTCACGGCAAAGGGTCTGAATACTTATGACCATGTGATATTTCAGTTTTTCTTTTTTAATACATTTGCAAAAATTTCTACATTTCTGTTTTTTTCTGTCAAGATGGGGTGCTGTGTGTACATTACTGAGAAATAAAATGAACTTTTTTGATTTTTGGAAAATGGCTGCAATGAAACAAAGAGTGAAAAATTTAAAGGGGTCTGAATACTTTCCGTACCCACTGTAGTAGACAGTGACGGTTGTCTCATGTCATATGAGAACTTCTGTCAAAGACACAACCTTACTGCCAATCGTAATCTTTATAACTCCATAACTGATGCTATCCCCAACTCTTTTATGTGTTTAATTAAGGGTATGTTAATGAATTCCACTCCTGTCACCCCTTGTCTCTCTCTACTTTTTGTTGGAGGCGTTGTCTTTAATGAGGTAAAAATCCCTAACAAAACAATTAGAAATTAGTTTGATAGCATCTCATACCCTACAATATCCTTTAGAAACTCCCAATTATTATTATTATTATATTTAAAATTCCCTATATTCCCCAAAGCCAAAGAAATCCATTTTAAAATTCTTAATGGTGTTTATCCATCCAGCGACTTGATACGACAGCGTTTTGGAATAGAAACCAATAATTGTGTATTTTGTGATGACAATGAAACTACTGATCATTTATTTTTCCATTGTATGTATTCTGAAGCGTTATGGCTTGATATACATGACTGGTTTTACCCAAAGGTTTTCCATCTCAAGACCTTTTCTCTGAAGGACATTGGTTGTGTCCAGTGTTGGGCAGTAACGCGTAACTGTAATAATATTACTTTTCCCAGTAAGTAGTGTAACTAATTACTTTTCTAAAACGGTAATATTATTACTAGTTACTAAGGCAAGTAACGCTGCGTTACTCATTACTGAACGCACCATCCTTGACGTAAATCCACGACTGTGCGACAACTCAGCTGGACCGGACTTTGTTGTTCATGTCCGCTGATAGCCAAAACTAAAGGAAGAACGGAGAACGAGGGAGAGAGCCGTTCTTTCCACAGCTGTTAGTAGCTTCTGCCATTATTGTGTCACAGCCTAAGATGTAAAGAACATTGTCGTCTGTTGTAAACTCTTTGCGACCAGCAAAAAGCTTTCAACCGCGAACATTTCTACATCTGATTTATTGAAGCATCTGCTGAAGCAGCACAGCGATGTGAAACTTACAGAAAGAAAGTCCAGCAGCTACTGTCACTGATGACTCGTCGGGAGAGAGTGTCATTAATGTCAATGTTTTGTAACTACTGAATAGGCTACTGCTATTATAAAAAGTCGGGAGAGACGCTTTGCTTGGGGGTGAAGGGGGGTGGTAGGGAAAGCAGTGTTTCCCATAATTAGCCTATAATTTGGGCAGACCTTGTAACACTAATGAGTCACGTGACACTGGCAAGAGAAAAAGGCTAATTTATCAACTTTGTTGTAACGTTAAGTAAGTTAGACGACATTATGCAATGTTAACAGTAAACTTGCCAAAAAGACATTGTTAGAGTTGGATAGGTAACATATAAAGTTACTGTAACAGAGTCACTGTGTCACTAGAATAAGTGACTCCACCTGGACTGAGGGACAAGGTTGAGGGTCGAGGGGGAAGCTGCGGTGGTTGCGGTTGTTGTGTCGGCCAATGGCCATGTTCCTCTGTTGGGTAAAGTATTAGTTATGTAGAGAAATTAGCTGAATGACTGCCGCTTCTGAGTTTGTCTAGGCTCTCCAGCTGCATGTATTTCATGTGAGTGAGGCCCTGCTTACATTCAAGATTCAAACCCTTTTTTGTTATTGTGTAGCACAGATTACTTTTGTGACAACCCTAAAGTGCATTAAAATTATCAATAGTAATACCAGTTCAACAGTAATTTAACACAAGAGCAAAATAATGAATATACATTAAGAGCTGACTTGACTGATATGTGGTGTCCAGCAGCAAGATTAATATTGCACATATGAGTAAACAGTGTATTGTACGTGCCATAATTACTGTTGTATGCCAGAGAGACTATCATGCTGAGACAATATCAGAGTTCAGATGGCAGCATCATTCCAGGTGTGAAACACCAGAGTGCAGCTCTACAGAAGTCCCAGTTTCCACTGTGTGCCCTGCAGCTCACTGCTTTGCTCTGCCTTGTTTTTACTTACACCTGAACTTGACTGATTTCAAATTATGACTGTGGGTTCCTACACATAGGTTCTCTTATTATGTTACTTCACACTGTTGTGGTGGCAGCCCGGCTGACGGTGAGTGTCCTGGTTTTCTCTCTTTTGTATGTGATTCTGTTTTGTCCCTGCCCCCCCCGTAACGACCCGCACCTGCACCTTGTCCGCCACCTCCTCCGCCTACCACACCTGCCAGCAATCAACTCCATCTCTGCCAGTACTTCTACCCGGGTTCTCCAGTCAACCCCTGCTTGATCGTTGTCGCTCCTTACCCGGTGCCACCTCAACATTCAAGCTCACACGTATCTTTGCATCCTTTCTATTTCCCTGAACTTTGTCTCTGCTGTGTCTGACCCTGTTTGTTTCTCCCCAGGTTCACTCACCCTCGTCTCCAGTCAGTCAGCTGGGCTTGTTCCCTTGGACTACCCCCACGGCGTCCTCCCAGTTCTCCAGTGCTTCCTCAGCCCCAGTGTCTGGTCTCTGTCTCCTTGGTTCCCCGTGCCTGCGTTTCCCTGGCATCCACCTCACCCTCAACTCCAGTCCCTCAACCCCTTTGTCCCCCAATAAAACCTGCCTATCTGAGCGCTGCATTTGGGTCCTCTCTGTCCCCACACCACACCACCGTAACACACACATTACTTCAAGTCATGCAAAACAACTTTTCCATTTGTAACCTTTTAATATTGATGTTCCTATGAATGCTAAATATGATTTTAATTTGTTAAACATTTGTTTTTGTATTAGATATCATTTTATGTTATTTAATGTTGATCAGACTAAATTTACTTAAAATAAAATCACATTCTTCAGTTATCAGTTTAAGTTAAAGAATATAGTGTGATCTAAACTTAACAAAATATGATAGTTTACAGCTGTAAATGAAAATATTAAGATGGTATTATGAGTTAACATTTTGAAATGATTTTGGTAGTGTTTGAAGATAGACTTGTGGAGATATAGATGTTAATTGAATAAACATTTTTTGAAAAATATAGAGAAACTGACTTCTGAATTGGCCATAGGTTGCAGTAAAGCAAATGTTTGTCAAATATCAGTGGATGTGGAATAGAGTAGAGTAGAATTGAGAATGGCTAGAAATTTACATTACATTTGTTGTAATAAGCCACGCCCACTTTGAGCAATCATTACCACATTTTATGCATCAACTGACTAGTGACCCTAGATTGTACAAACCGAATTTTGTATGAATCCATGCAGCAAATTATGAGGTATAAACATTTTGCAAGTGTACCGTCAGGGAAGAGTTAGAGAAAAGTGATAAAGTTACAGAATTTTACAACTTTAGAGCAGAAAACCATTGTAGCAAAGATGCAGATGAATCCAGAGAATTTAAAATGATGGAAGAAGTTTGACTATAAACAAAGCCATTTTTGAGATAATTGCAAAAATGTAAATTGATGGTTATAGCACCACCATGAGGTCTATGAGTGGGTGGAATTGCAACCTACATGCCAATTTTGTTGAGTTTTCGTGCAGCAGTTTATGCTGCCCAAAGACTTAGTGGAGAAAAAGAAGAAAGAAAGAAAGAAAGAAAGAAGAATGAGAGCAAAAACAATAGGGCTCCTATTATCTCTAATAATAAAGACTATTTACATTAGCATCAGATTTGTATGCGTAAACATTTACAGTTTAAAGTGAATAACAAAGTCGAGGGACAGTTAATATGTGGTAAATTAATCCTCCAGCTGTTTTTGCAGTTTCAAGTAATATCTGATTTTAAAATCTCCAGATCCAAGATCCAACGAAGGTTGAGGTTTGAGGTTATTACAAACACACATCAACAACGAGAGAGACCATTGCTGCATAAACTGTACAACTGTTGATATAAATTGAACCATCTACAATCCAACCTGTTCTCACTCCCAAGTTGTCACAAATGGACGTCAAGACAACTTGTTGTCACGTTATAACACAATTGGGGAGCCCCTTAGTATCAACAGTGGGCAGATTTATTACAGTGCCTTTAACACTCTCATACCAACCATATTTGAAACAAACATTTTTAAAGTGCCCAGTGTCTTTCGGTTCTTTGTATCTCTACCTGGCCAGGATAATGAATGTGTGTTGGATCTTTATTCTTTTTCAGTCTGCACATATAGTACAAAATAAATCAGATAAATCATCACAGTCAATATTCTTCAAATAAAACTAAAAACAAAACTAAATATCATCATCCTTTTGTCTAGGGATTCTTCTTAAATTTGACAGTGTTGTACCAAAGATTTATTTACCTTTATCAGGTAGCCTTTAAGACATAACTACTATAAATTAATTAAATTTCTCCATCTCTCAGCATTATATTACATTAAATTACAACCAGAAAATACTGAACAGTTTACAAATTTTAGGCAAGGAAATTACCTTAAGCACTGTAAAAATACCTCTGAAGGTACTATGTGTGCTCCAAAATATTCGCATACATTTTTTTGTATCCGTCATCCTACAAATTCGTCACTCACAGAAACCTTGCACACTGAGTCTGTAATTAATACAATACAACATGGAGTCTTCAAGCAGTGAGGATGATTTTGTTGTAGTCTCTCTTCTTAAAAAGAGAAAAATAAATTTTGTGTACATCCAATTCTGAGATTGCATAGAGAACAAGGAGAGTTCCACCTCCTTATGAAGGAGCTGCGGGATTATCCTGATCGATTCAAAGTGTACTTCAGGATGTCAGTGGGTCAGTTTGATGCTTTGCTAGCGATACTGGACCCACATATTAAAAAGAAAACCACCAAATTCTGTGAACCAATTTATCCTGAACAGAGGCTGGCAGTATGTCTTAGGTAAGACACACATACACACCACACTGTGCCATTGGAAAAGTGCGTGCCAGGCACTGAAACCAGCATACAAGTGACAGCATACAACACTATTATTTTGTGTGCTATAATAATATTTGTATAGTTTTAGACATCTGAGCACTGGGGACCAGGGCCGGCCCTGGCCAATTAGCTGCCCTAGGCAAGATTTCACCTGATGCCCCTGGATTTTTGTTCATAAACTTACACAGAAACAAACTGCACAGGTTTGTCTTGTTTTTCTTTATTTTGAAAATATTTTGGAAACACAAACACACAACGTATTATAGATACAATATAAATATGTATATTATATTATGTTATTGCAGAAAAAACTATATTACAGAAACCTTGCTTTCCTTGCCTTTCTTACACCATATGTAACATTCCAAAAATTATAAATAAGACCATTGCACAAAAAATAAATAACTATTCTATTCTTGAGCCATTGTAGATCTCAGGTAGTTTTTAAATCAGTTTGAGAGAGAAGCTCCTTTCAGCAGCAGCGACTGTCACAGGTAGAGTGGCAGAGATTCTCAGAGCGACCCACATATTGGGGAAAATTTCCATCAGCTTCTTCTCGTGCAGGAAAGTCAGGAGCTCAGTGTTTGTCATAATTTTTGATGGCAGATGTGGAAAGTTTTGCATTTCTAATACAAGTTTCAATTCAAATTAGCGAACGTTACAGACATCGTGACCGTCGAACTAACTTAATGCAACACAGATAAACTGATCACACATCATTACCTATCTCTGTCTTTTTCGCGTTTTTCTTCCTCTTCTCTTCTTTTTTTTCTTCCCTGGGCACCAGATGGTTTCGGTCTTTTTGACATAATGACAACTTGTCAGTGTCAGTGAATTCGGCCATCCGTCACTCACAATCACACACAGGTAACGGATGGGGTTTTTTTCAGCAGGGCGGGGGCGATGGAGATTGATGCGTCACTCAGTCGGACCGGGGGGATCGGGGATTCAGGATTCCCCCGGGATTCACGATCGCTTTTTTTAATCCATAATATTTTAGTTGTATTAGTAATAAAAAAAAATAATAAAAAAAATAATTTGGGCGCACGAACGCCCCAAGGGGTGGGCGGCGCCCTTAGCATTTGCCTATTCCGCCTATGCCCAGGGCCGGCCCTGCTGGGGACTCATTCACCACCATCACCAGCAGTTTTAAGTTGGGCATCAGCACTGTAGGGATGATTGTGAGGGAGACCTGTGACCAAATCTGGCTGCAGCTCAAGGACACCTATATGCCAACTCCAACAGAGGACATTGGAAACAAAGGTGTAACTTCCCTAATTGTATTGGTGCTCACAAGGGAAAGTGTGTCAAGATTGACGCCCCTGCAAACACAGGTTCCCTCTTTTTAATTATAAAGGCACCTTTTCCATTGTGCTCCTCGCATTAGTGTCAGACAGCATCGTCAAAGCAACCTGCATATTATGCGCCATGACGTAGTGGGACAATCCTGCCAGGATGACAGCTTTGACTTTGAGGATGCTGGCAATGCGTGTCTACAGGAGCTTCTGAGGCCAAGGGGTAACTGGAAATCTGAAGAGGCTCTCCACATTAGAGACACATTGAGAAAATATTTTGTCTCACCTGCTGGCAAGGTACCACGGCAGTATTACCATGTGTGCCATGGACTCGGATTGTTGACACAAAGTCTCTTACACTGTAGACGTCAGTCGTGCGTAATGGCTGAGCTGTCTCATTGTTTAGTTCGCGCATGAAGTTCTCAGGGCCACTTCATTGATACCTGCGTGGGCTGGACTGGGTCGGTCCATGACTCCTGAGTTCTCCGCAACAGCCCACTGTAGTTCACTCTACCCTCCAGGGCATTTCATGCTTGCAGACGAAGGGTACCCATGTGAGTATTTTTTTTTATTACACTGAGTAAATCAACAGACTGATTCATCAGAAGATATATATACAGGTGAAACGCGAAAGATTAGCATATCGTGCAAAAGTTCATTCATTTCAGTAATTCAACTTAAAAGGTGAAACTAATATTATATAGACTCATTACATGCATAGTGAGATATTTCAAGCCTTTATTTGATATAATTTCGATGATTATTGCGTACAGCTTATGAAAACCCCAAATTCAAAATCTCAGAAAATTAGAATATTGTGAAAAGGTTCAGTATTGTAGGCTCTGGCAGTGCTCCTCCTGCTCCTCCTTGCACAAAGGCGGAGGTAGCGGTCCTGCTGCTGGGTTGTTGCCCTCCTACGGCCTCCTCCACGTCTCCTGATGTACTGGCCTGTCTCCTGGTAGCGCCTCCGTGCTCTGGACACTACGCTGACAGACACAGCAAACCTTCTTGCCACAGCTCGCATTGATGTGCCATCCTGGATGAGCTGCACTACCTGAGCCACTTGTGTGGGTTGTAGACTCCGTCTCATGCTACCACTAGAGTGGAAGCACCGCCAGCATTCAAAAGTGACCAAAACATCAGCCAGGAAGCATAGGAACTGAGAAGTGGTCTGTGGTCACCACCTGCAGAACCACTCCTTTATTGGGGGGGTCTTGCTAATTGCCTATAATTTCCACCTGTTGTCTATTCCATTTGCACAACAGCATGTGAAATTGATTGTCAATCAGTGTTGCTTCCTAAGTGGATGGTTTGATTTCACAGGAGTGTGACTGACTTGGAGTTACATTGTGTTGTTTAAGTGTTCCCTTTATTTTTTGGAGCAGTGTATAATAAAATAGAGCTTTGTAACTCCCTTCTGCTACATAGCAGACAGAAATAGTCAATGATTCAAAACCAGTACCCTTAAAGTGATACCCATACCAATAGAGGACGTCATTTAATACCTTGCACGCCACCCACTGATACATAAAAATACCACGTTAGACTAATTTAACGTTAG